AGACTCAGAAGTCAATAACCAATTCTCTGAACCTTCCACAACTGCACAGTCTGTTATCAGGTATTTTGGGGTGCAACATTTGTAAGAAAGATTTTCGTGTCTCATCTCAGAAAACAACTGATTGTGCCAGACTAATGGCTGATTTCAGAGCTCCCTTGTGCCACACATCCTTTGCACTCTTGCTGCAGTTTGCTGCTTTGGGATCACTAATTGGTTACAGTGCATGTCACTTTGTATGCAGCACCACAGAAAGACCTTAGCTTTGTCTTATTTTCACGTGGACATCCATGAGAACAAAACAAAATTGGTGGGAACAGTGGTTTTGTGGCTAACTTGCAGGACTATGTCAAGTAATGTGGGTTATGTTCCTGTCTCTCTCACAAACTCCCTGTGTGACTGTGGGTACATCATATGTCTTGGCTCCTCCATCGGCAGAAGAAGGATAATGATACTCTTACCGTGCAGGGGGCCAGCCCCACCAATGGGGTGGTAGGGAAGGGGGCAACTACTCTGAGGCCTAGCAATACGAAAGATCCCAGAGATCCTGGCTTCTGCCACCACTACTGTGGCAGAGGCTGGAACTCCGGGCCCTTTACATCTCTCATGGAGAGCAGCTTAATGTGCTCTGGACATCAATGAGGGGTGGGAGGTGGGGTGGAGTGCACACCGCAATTTGGGTGGCACTGGGGGCTGGCTGCCCCAAACCTGCCCCTTCTGCCCAAGGCCCCGCCCCTTCCAGAAGCACAGAGTAAGCCCTTCCACCTTGCTACCTTGTCGACCCCAGTGCAAGAGGCTATAAGGCAAATTTCATGAATGTTTGTAAAACACTTTGAACGGCCTTATTATTAGGCAGAGCAATGCCTGTTTTACTTCAGGCAGGTGATCAACTTCATGCTCTAATTACACAGTGTTGTTTGTTCCAGAATCTGAAATCACTTTTCAAATATTAATGAACCAAACCTCACAACCTATCAGACAGTAAGTAGCATTAAAATCACAGTGTGCCTGGATGCACCCCTATATTTGCACCCTCTGCACTACTGTAATAAACTGTATGCAAAATATGATGTTCACTGTGGGCATGTCTACACTGGGGAGCAATTTCAGGTAGGAACAAGAGATCCTCCGGAAAAGGGCTTTATTCCGGAGGATCGCGCCAGTCTAGATGCTTTTTTCCGGCTTTTCCCCAAGCCGGAAAAAAAGCGGCGGACATGTTTATTTAAATCCGCGGGGGATATTTAAATCCCCCGCGGATTTCCCTATTCTGACTTACCTGCTTTGCATCCCTTTTCCGGAATTTGGGGCCAGTGTAGACGTAGCCATAGAGTTTATGATGTTGTTAGCCCATGTTCAAAGCCATGTGGTCCTGATTTGACAGGAGCCTTAAGCAAGTAAGCAAGTCAGTCTTAAACACTGGAGATATTCCACAGAGATTTCAACAACCTACACCCCACCATCAACCTCAGCCTGGACCATTCTACACGAGAGATCCACTTCCTGGACACCACAGTACAAATCAACAATGGAAAATTAGACACCACTCTCTACAGAAAACCCACTGACTCATACAGTTACCTACATGCTTCCAGCTCCCATCCAGAACACACCACTTATTGGAAAACATCTACCAACGTAGATCAGTAAGTGTTGTAATACAGATCTTCAAGTAATAAAGTTGGCATACGAATCCCTCCATTACACTTACGATTTCATCAGTGATTGTATCAACCATTCGAAATATCTTCAGTGAGGAATCAGTTTTTGGAGGCTGAATCCAATTCCTTCCAGTAAGATAATTTGTTTTTTCCAGTCAATGTTCCAGCAGTGTCACACCCTGAAAGAGCATGGATACCAGGGCCATGTGATGGCTTTTAATAGCCTGAGTAACAGGAACACAACTCTGACAGCAATTCTGTTCCTCTGAAACAGGCACAAAACCAGAATCCCAAGGAAGTATTGGGTAGCATCTCACAGAAAACACAAAAACATACACGTCTTGTGCCAAAATGCAGAGTAGCACTTCTTGCTGTGGCACTGATGGCAGGCAAGATAATTTTAGTGTCACTCTCCTCCTGAGAGCGATGAAGAAATCCATTCAACAGTGTGAGACAGCAGTTTAACTGCACCATGAAACAAAATTATTTTGAGAAATTTTTTGCATGTTAAAGCATCTTTCCTGAATGGTATTTGGTTAACTCATGCTTTGTGCAAGTATGAGATGGCTGTTACTTCATTGTGACATTGAAGATTCTGATGGAGTCAATGATTTTTGTACCAGGCAGGTTCAACAATAATGCCCCTTCTTTCTGATAATTGTAATTGATTACTCTGTGTACATGTCAAACCCAAGGCTGACTTTGTCATAAGTCCAGTATTTTCTTTATAGCCGATAATGAAGTGTTCGGCCATCTCAGCAAGTGTTAATAGTGTCTGCTTCCTTCCTTCCTTCCTTCCCCCCCTCACCCTCCCGCATCCCCCTCCTGTTCTGAAATGTGATTTGTCCTTTTCATATGTGTTCATTTTTTTAAATTGTATCCTTTGGTATATATGGTTGTGACTATTTTCTTCCACTATTTGATCTGAGGAAGTGGGTCTGGCCCACGAAAGCTCATCATCTAATAAACCATCTTGTTAGTCTTTAAAGTGCTACATTGTCCTGCATTTTGCTTAAACAAAGGAGACTTTTTCTGGATTTACCTATAAGTAGTAAAGAAGGTCCTTGAGACAGTGAAAGGGAGACAAGGCAGGTCCTGAGTTGACATTTGGGTCAGTCTTGTTGCTGGTAACAAGTGTTAAGAATCTTACTTTGAACCAAGTCTAGTTGGTTAGGGGTCAGCACAAGAAAGGGTTACGTCTTGATCTCTCTTGAAGCAATTTCTGACTTTAACCCCTTGTAGGGTATGTCTAGACTACCGGGTTTTGTCGACAGAAGTTTTGTCGACAGTATCTGTCGACAAAACTTCTGTCGACAAAGAGCGTCCAGACACATTGAGTTCTGTCGACAAAGCAAGCTGCTTTGTCGACAGAACCCTGTAGTCTAGACGCAACCCTACAAGCAATAACACCTTCTGTCGACAGAACTCTGTTGACAGAAGGTGTTATGCCTCGTAAAATGAGGTATACCAGCGTCGACAAAACTGCTGAGTTCTGTCGACATTATGTCGACAGAGCTCAGCGGTAGTGTAGACGCTGGTATAGTTTTGTCGACAAAAGTCCACTTTTGTCGACAAAACTCAGTAGTCTAGACACACCCATACTGTCACACACTTAAAATATCTCTCTTTATACAGGCCTATATACAGGCATTTCTGGGGAAGGAGGTGCCAGGTGTGGGAGGGGGTGGTGGCTGCCCCACTACTGTGGCCTAACTTTGACCCTGGTCTTTTTCCTGGGTGGAGAGGGGGGCAAATCAGCCCCAGCTTTACCCTAGCCAGCTGGAGCACGGGGAGGGAGGCTAGGGCAATGCACTTACTTGGAGGAATTGGGGGGAGGGTGTTAAATTCGCACTCTTTGCACCCCCTCTGTGTACGAGTCTGTTTCTGCATACAGGCCTGTTATAGTTAAATAAATGTTTTATTCTGTGATACAAAACCAATCCAGTGTAGTGTTTATTTGACTTGTTCGTTAATTCCAATTAAAGTTGCAAACTGTGCTATATTGCCTACTCACAGAGGGAACAGACCAGTGACATCTGAACTGGTCAGGAGAGCACTGGACATGCAGAACACATGCTTTTTGGGGAAAAAAAAATCAGGCCTGGATATGAGTTGGGATCTCCTTGCAAGTACTAAACAACACTGCAGGAAGTCAGAGCATGGCTGGTATGTCGCTGGCAGACTGCTGGGGTGGGAGTTGCTAGAACCAGGAAAGCAGTTACACACAGCCACTCAGGGTGTAACCTGTGTGCTGTTGGGCTGTTTGTGAGTGGTCCAGCATGGGAGCAAGACTTTGTGAGGGTGTAGACCAGGGTGACAACCTCTCACTGAGCTGGGTTGCACCCAGAATTTGATACACTTCACCGATGGATGAAGAGGCACAAAAGCTCCAAGGCCACCTGATCCTCCACAGTTACGCCAATGCTCAGCTTTAAGTGCATGAGTAGTTCCACTGAGTT